TATGTAAATTATTATCAAGTAGTTTTGTATAAACTCTTAACTATATTTTACCTAATAAAGATAGAGGCAAGACCTCATCTCAACCTACGAGTTGAAATTTCAAAAAAAAAAAATAAGTGCTAGCAAATATTACCTCTACATAGTAGTTTCATCGAAGTTCTTATTAGAGGTACTACTTAATAATAAGGTTCTTGATCTTTCTGAAAAGATTCTGTTTGTAGTGATATATAAAATAAACAATCTTCAGAAAAATAACTTAAATATATAAAGAAAATTTATTATTATTAATATTGATCATCTCAAATTGCACTATCTAAAATTCACAAGAATTCTAAGCTACTAGAGATGCAATTCAGATATCTGATAGTTTAATTTTATAACAAAATTATTATTAAGAATTCGGGTATTCAGATATCTGTTAAATTTTAAATAGGAAAATAGATAATAGATCATATCTCTATAAGCTACAATATAAAGTATAACTACAGAAAACTTTAAAATTATCTTTAAATTATTTAAATAGTAAATAATATAAATATGATGCTAAAAATTAAAAGTTGTAATTATTATTTAAAATATACTATATTTCTATATTATTACTTATCAAGCGTGATATAGGAATAAATTATACAATCTTCAGGTGTTAACGAAGGTATAAAGTTAAATATTGCTATATAATATTTAATAGTGACAGTACTTTGATGCTTGCAAGATACACTAGATGCACTAACTAGACAATTATATACTCCTATTCCACTATTCACAATATAGTAAAGATTATCTTATTTCATACTCTGCACTAAAAATTTATTTTCTACACTTGTTCTTTTAATAGAATTCATATTCACTGTTTCCTAACTAGAACATAAAAAATGTTTTGTAATATAAAAATGTCTAGGATGCATATGAGCAATTCCAAAAAGTCTTTATTTATAAAATCTCTCTATACTTCCTGTTACAAACTGAAATACTTGCACAATATTGTATGCTTATATGCGAGTGAAAATTATATCCTTTAATATACCAAAGCTTTATTTGATATAATTGTTAGTATTGTTTCCATGTATAGGTAATATAGTACAAAAAGACAAAGTCCAAAAAGGACGTCGCTTCCATAGAAGATTAAAATAGCTTTGTAAAAATTGATATTTGTAAAAGCTTTGCTTAAATTCCTCATAATGTTTATTCATTTCAGGACCAGATAATGCATAAAAGATTTGTTTCATTTTATTCATAATAAGTGGATGGTTCTCTTTTTTGATTTGGTGTTTTGAATTATGTAATACTACCAAAATGCTTGTAAAACATGGAATGTACATAGAAGGCGAATACCTATAGTTTAATAATAAAAATATAACAATAATAATTATTTTAAGCATATATACAAAATATAAAAATATGATTTTTAATTTTTAGAAATTCAAAAAATTAAACTTATGAAAACAAAATACCTCATGGCCAACAAAGTTCTAAAGCATTATATTCTGTATTAGAATCATCTATGAGAAAAATCATTAGCTCTACTCATGGTCTGCACCTAAAAAAGGCATATGAAGGAAGAATTATCTTTAATAATTCTATCACTTTTTCTAATATACTCTCTAACTCATCTGAGGTAATAAACAATCCTAGAAGGAGGGTACCAACTGCACAACTGGTATAAAAAAGGGTTATAGAAGTGTTGAGAGGATCAAATGAGACTGATGTATCTATATAATATATTTTACCTGCCTGAAGAACCTTTTTATATACATGAATCATCAAGTTTGTTACTACACATAAAATAAATGCATTTCCTGAATTTGCATTATATTTCTGCAAAGCAGCTTTACCCTGTTCTAATAATTAAAATATATAATTAATTATATATATATTTAAAGTATAATAATAATTTTTTTTTTAAAAAAAAAAATGATAACTTGAGCTATTATAATCTTCTACGATCAATTCTAATTGTTCTAACATTGGCTTGCCATTACAACTCCCAAGTATAGTATTATGATATTGTTGAAAAATATAATAAATTGAATTATAATCTAGATTATTTGCTCAGTTTGCAAGTAATTCCACTAATTTTTGTTTATTCAAAACACTAAAATGAAGATCATCTTCAAGAGTATAAAGTGCAGAGGAAGGTGAGCAACTATTTTTAAATAATTCTAATAATTTATTATGAACATCATCCTTGATTAGCTGAAAACTTAGTGATTCTGCTGCATTGATTACATAGTTGTATGTAAATTTTATATTTACTTCTAATAGATGACTTAATATAAGTCATTAGAGCTCTAACTGTAAATGAATAGTTGCTGTGCAATATATATTTCGAGCTCAAGATGATTGTAGATACTTTACATCATGCTTTCTTTATTTTTTCTTTACTTCATTGCTGTGAATGCAATGACACTGCTCACAAAAAATTACCTTACTTCTCTTGATATCAAAACCTCTTGTCTGTGACATAGTTGTCTTTGACCAAGATTGAAATTCTATGAACTACTCACATGCACCTTTCTTACTTTTAACATTTACAAAAGTATCTAGATCAAAATTTGCAACTTTGAAATTCTCCTGTGTTTTGTGCAGCAGTAAGTTATTAAAATTTTGTATTTGATATGTGTAATTTTGAGGGAGAACCGATTTCAAAATATCAGATAAGAGGTCCCATGAAAAAATCTAAGATTTATATAGTAAAAAAGAAAAGATTATTATTATACCTATCTGCTGTTTAAATAATAATAATCAAAAATATGAAAGTATGATGATATTGGTAATTGATAAGTAAAATTACTGATAATTAAAATATAAAGTATGACGATAAATAAAAGTATAATTAATAAAATTATTGAAAAATTAATAACAAATTGTAAAAATTACTAGAGATACTAGAGATATAAAACAGCTCTATTGGCTTGTAAATTAACTATAAAAAAAGTCGATGAGCCAATACTATGTAATTTGTTTTTCAAATAAATTAACAATCGTTTTTTTTTTTTTTAAATTCAGCAGTCATGCCATAACTTTATTTAGATTTGTTTTCTATTTGAAAACAACATTATTTAGC